GGGGGAATTAGAAAAGAGAAAAAAATTAAAAAAAATTAAATCTAACTTACCTGGGTGATAGTACAGTCGCGTCTCACCGCGGTCCCACCGCGGCCGCGGTGAGTGAAGGGGCGAGAGACAGAATATTCCCCTTTTACCGCGGTCATGGTCACGAGAATTATTTTTCATAAGGAGGTTACAAAAGAAAAGAAAAATAACAACATTAATGGGTTGCCTCCCACGCAGCGCCTGATTTATCGTCGCGGCACGACGCAGATAAGCGCATTTAAGGTTCGCTCGACCTTTGAGGTTCAGTCAGGTGGATCTCCGTCACTTCCTTTGGTTCATTCATGCCCGCGTATAGTTTCAATCTATGCCCATTGACTCTAAATATATGAGAGTCTTTCTATGCGGCAATCTCTACAGCCACTAAAGGAAATACTTCAACCACTCGAAATGGTCCAGACCATCGTGACTTGAGTTTACCCGGAAATAGCCTTAATCTTGAGTTATAAAGCAACACCATACCTCCGGGCTTGAAATTTCTCTCAACAATGTTTTTGTCACTTAGCCTCTTCATTCTCTCCTTATACATCCTCGTGCTCTCGAAAGCAAGATATTGGAACTCGTCCAGCTCATGCAGTTCTGTGATTCTAGTTGTGCTCGCAACTTTAATGTCTAGATTCAGTTGTTTCATTACCCACCAAGTTCTATGTTCAAGTTCCACTTGCAAGTGGCAAGCCTTCTCGAACACCAACTTATATGGTGACATGCCAATTGGTGTTTTAAATGCAGTCCTGTAGGCCTAGAGTGCATCATCTAGCTTTTTCGCCCAATCAATTCTTGTGGCATTCATAGTCTTGGTTAGGACACTCTTTATCTCTCTGTTTGACACTTCAAATTGTCCATTGGTCTGAGGATTATATGGGATTGCCCCCTTGTGGAACACATCATACTTTGCTAGCAACTTCTCGAAGGCTCGATTGCAGAAGTGAGTGCCTCTCTCACTGATAATAGCTCTCAGGGCCCCAAAACGGATGAATATATTCTTCTTCAAAAATCCCACCACCACTCTTGTATCATTGGTGGGAAATGTTGCAGCTTCTACCCATTTGGACACGTAATATACAACAACAAGTATGTACTTATTGCCAAAGGAGCTGACGAAGGGGCCCATGAAGTCAATCCCCCAGACATCGAACACTTCAACCTCTTGAATTGGGTTCATGGGCATCTCATGGCGACGAGAAATGTTCTCGGTTCGCTGGCATTCATTACAGCCCTTCACCCATTGATGTGCATCCTTAAACACTGTTGTCCAGAAGAACCCGGCCTCCAGCACTTTTGCGGTCGTCCTGACTCCTCCAAAATGCCCTCCAAACGTCGATGTGTGACATGCCTGCAAAGCAGAAGATTGTTCTATCTCGGGGACACACCCCCGGATCATATTGTCAACACACATTCGAAACAGATAAGGTTTATCCCAATAATACATGCGACAGTCACGATAAAATATTTTCTTTTGTACAAAGGAAAGGTCATAGAACTATATCGCTTGCCAGGTAATTTGCAAAGTTTGCATACCATGGCACTTCCTCAAGGCTTGTAGCGAGCAACTGCTCATCTAGAAAGGTTTCCAGAATATCCTCAACCTCAACTGAGTTTCCAGCTCCCTCAAGTCGTGATAGATGATCAGCGACTTGGTTTTCTATGCCCTTACAGTCACGAATTTCGAGGTTGAACTCTTGCAATAATAACACCCAACAAATCAGACACGGTTTAGACTCCTTCTTCTCAATCAAGTACCTAAGAGCTGCATGATCAGTATATACAATTACCTTAGAGCCAATCAGGTATGATCTGAACTTGTCAAATGCAAACACCACAGTCAGCATCTCCTTTTCAGTCATAGTGTAGTTCAGCTGGGCTCCACTCAGCATTCTACTGGCATAGTAGATTGGGTGCATTAGCTTGTCTTTCCACTGTCCCAGCACTGCCCCCACTGCATAGTCACTGGCATCACACATGAGTTCGAATGGTTGATCCCAGTCAAGGGCGACAATGATGGGTGTTGTGACTAGCCTCTTTTTCAACTCCTCGAATGCTGCCCTGCAATCATCAGAAAACAAGAAGGGGTGATCTTTTTCTAACAACTTACAGAGAGGGTTGACAATTTTTGAGAAGTCTCTTATGAATCTCCGGTAGAAACCGGCATGCCCAAGGAAGCTCCTGATTGCCTTTGAGGTGGCAGCTTTGCTATCACGTCAACTTTAGCATGGTCCACCTCGATTCCCTTGCTTGATACCCAGTGTCCCAAGACTATGCCCTCTTGTACCATGAAATGGCACTTCTCCCAATTAAGTACCAGGTTAGTCTCAATACATCTTTTCAGCACACGAGTCAGAGTTATAAGGCACTCATCGAATGAGTTTCCCACCACTGAGAAGTCATCTATGAACACCTCCATTATGTCCTTGACCATATCTGTGAATATGGCCATCATGCACCTTTGGAATGTGGTAGGTTCATTGCATAGGCCAAAGGGCATCCTCCGAAAAGCATAAATGCCATATGGGCAAGTGAAGGAGGTCTTTTCTCTATCCTCTGGTGCAATGGAGATTTGATTGTACCCTGAGTAACCATCCAGTAAACAGAAGTGAAACTTCCCTGCCAATCTGTCTAGCATCTGATCAATGAAGGGAAGTGGGAAGTGGTCTTTCCGGGTGGCCAAATTTAATTTTCTGTAGTCCATGCAAATTCTCCAGCCTATGATGGTTCTTGTAGAGATCAGCTCATTGTTATAATTTTTGACCACCGTCATGCCACCCTTCTTAGGAACACATTGCATCGGGCTAACCCAGTTGCTGTCAGAGATTGGGAAAATGATTCCTGCATCTAACCACTTAATCACTTCTTTCTTCACCATTTCCTTCATGTTGGGGTTCAGCCTTCTTTGGTGCTCCCTGGAAGGTTTGTGTCCCTCTTCCAGCAAAATTTTATGCATACAATATGCTGGGATGATCCACTTAATGTCTACCATGGTCCACCCAATGGCAGTCTTACACTCCTTGAGTACTTGTAAAAGTTGTTGTGCCTGCACATCTAACAAACTAGATAAGATAATAACAGGTAATGTAGAGTTAGGTCCTAGGAATTCATACCTGAGATGGGCGGGCAGTGGCTTCAATTCCAGCTTTAGTGGTTCTTCTATGGATGGCTTGGCTGGAGGAGTTTCTCTGTTTTCAAAATGCAGGGGCTCGAATTCAAGAGTTCTATCCCAAAACCCTCTAACCTCTAAAGCCAACACCCATTCTGCCAGTTCTTCCCCATTCACCTCATCTAAATTTACCGACATGCAGTAAGAGGGACCTCAATAGTTAACGTCTCATCATCAGCTTCTATGATCCACGACATCAATAAGAGAACAATTGGTGAATTCACTTGGTCGCCTCATAGATTTCTGCACATTGAATATTATCTCCTCATCGTTCAACCTCACCTTGAGCTTCCCAGTCTCACAATCAATGAGAGCTCTCCCAGTGGCCAAGAACAGCCTTCCCAAAATTATGGGAATTTCTTCATCCACCTTGAAATCTAAAATCACAAAATCTGCAGGGAACACAAATTTCCCTACCTGAATCTTCATCCAAGATACCAGAGGGTCTTTTCACGGTCCTGTCAGCCAGCTGCAACAACATAGAAGTGAGTTTGGCTCTTCCAATCCCCAACCTCTTATAGATCGCCAGGGGCATAAGATTTATGCTAGCCCCCAAATCACAAAGTGCTTTAGTGAAAGCAAAGTTACCAATAGTGCATGGAATTGTGAAACTCCCTAGGTCAGACAGCTTCTCAGCAATTGGTCTAGTCACCACCGCATTGCAGGCCTGAGTAAGAGTCACTGTGGCCAAGTCTTGGAAATCGAATTTTCGGGACATCAATTCCTTCATCATTTTTGCATAACCATGCATCTCTTTCAACACATCAATCAATGGGATATTTACCTGGATTTGTTTCAGCATCTCCAAGAATTCCTTGTATTGTTCATCTTTTTGGTACTTGGCCAGCCTCTGTGGGAATGGTGTGGGGGGTCTCTTCTTCCCAATAATTTGGGTATTTTCTTTGTCAACTACCACCTCAACTACCAGTTCCTAGGTTGTCTCAGCTTCTTTCTCAGCCTCAATCTGTGTGCTATATTCTTCCTGGGCAGGCTGTACTGTCACCTCTATCAATTTCGTTGACTCATCTAGCTCAATGGGCACCGGTACAAGTGTCTCAGCTTGTCTGCTTTCTCGATCCCTGTCTTGCTCCAAGTCTAAGTCTCTTCCATTACGTAGACTCACTACCATTAGTTGCTTTGGGCCTTGATCTTTTGGATTTACCTACATGTCTGCATGAAATATCCCAAGAGGACGATTATTCAAGGACATCGAAATCTGGCCCATCTGCACTTCAATATTCTTAATAGCTGACTCATGTGCATCTACTCTTTCACTCATTTTTGCATTTGACCCAATAACCTGTTGCATCATTGCCTCGAGTCTAGCAAACCCATCTTCCTGCCTTCCACCATGCTGCTGCTGAGGAGGATGATAACCCTACTGTTGATTTTGATTAATATATCCCTGTGGCCTTTGGTAAGGCGCCATATTATTGTGAGGTCTCATACCTCCCATGTTTCCATTGTTGAGTTATGGCTGGACTGGCCTGTACGGCTGATTTTGTTGGCCCCAATTTTGACCACCCTGTCTCTGGCCTCCATAATTAGACACATAATTCATGTCCTCAGGGTAGTGATGATGATCACTTTCCGCATTCCACTGGTTACCAATTGGCTGACTAATGCAAGATGTGCATAAGCTCCCATATGGTAGTATATACAATGTGTACCTACTGCTTCTAACCTGACTCTTCCACCTTTTTGGTGAGTATACTCATCTATGTCATTAATGTGGCCATATTTTCAGCAAGAGTGTTGGATGGATCTAAGGGTACTGAGTGAACCACTGGAGTGATAGGTGCATTCCTGGTTGTCCACCCCGAATTCTGTGCCATCTTGTCAAGCAAACACTGGCTTTCTCTTCATGTTTTGCTAAAAAATGCTCCACTAGCTAAAGTATCAACATTACCCTTCTCGCCATCTGCCAAACCCATGTAAAATCGCTGCCCCAACATCTGATCTGGAATACCGTGGTGCGGACATATAACCAACATCCCTTTGAATTATTCCCATGTTTCTTGCAGTGTCTCTATTGGTTTCTGTTTGAAACTCAAAATTTCATCAATTTGTTGAGCAGTCTTGTTGGGTGGATGAAATTTGTTCACAAATTGCTTGACTAACTCCTCCCAGGTCGTTATGGAATTAATGAGGAATGAGTTCAGCTAGGTCTGGGTAGCTCCTGTCACTGAGAATGGAAACAACAACAGCTTTATTGCTTCCTGAGTTACGTTGGGCTGCCTTTGAGTTTTGCAGATTGACAGGAAATTCTTCAAGTGCTGTTGAGGATCTTCGATTTGTGACCCTGAAAATAGTCCCTTGTTTTGCAACAAGTGCAGCATGTTGTTTGTGATTTGAAACGATTCAGCATGTATCTGCGGGACTAAAATCGTTGTGTCCAAGTTCTCTACTGTGGGTTGTGCCCAGTCATATAGAGCGGCCTTTGGCACAAGAGGTGCCCCTAGCACTAATGGCACAGCTGGGTCTACTACGTGATCCCCCATATCTGGTTCGAATTGTTCAGTTGTTTGTTGTTGTTTGCTTTTTTGATTGGCCCG